CTCGGGCGGGTCGGCGTCAACCGAGCCTCTCCCGGCCGTATCCGTGCCACCGCCCTGATGGCTGCAGTGAACCCGGGGAAATTAACCCGGCCAGTTCCTCAGTCGACGGGGCGTTGGTTTGGAGGCGGCCATGGGGAGGACACGGGGCGCGCTGGCCCGCCCGAGGGTGGCGGCGGCTTGGCTGAGGCAGGCTTCCGCGCCCGGCCGCGCCTGCGCTTCGTCTTGCCCCCCCACACGTGCATCCCCGCCCGCAGGCTCGCGAGGTGGGCGGGGTTGGCGTATGGGAAGGTGGGCACATAGACGTGCCGCTCGTCTGCAGCTTTTCAAAAAAAGAGATGTCGGCACCTGCCTCTCACGCATGCAGGCAGATCGCTACTATAGCTAGTTAGGAGCCGACCGACCCTCGCGTCCGGTGCTCACCGACGGCCATCCCCGTCCGACCCCCTCACCCCCGGCCGCGACGGCGGCGGCGGCGTGCGCGGCCACGCTCGCGGCGGGCCTGCTCGGCCACAACGGCGGCTGGGACCGGCGGCGTCTCGTCTAGCACTACTCGGACGCGTCCGTGCGGTGCCCATCGTATCGCTTGATCTCCCGGTACGCGGCCTCGGGCTGGGGCACCTACGAGCATAGACGGCGCGAGTGAGTGACACTGAGTGAGAGCGCCGCCCGAGCCGACCCCCGGAGAGCAGGGGTCACGCCTGCACGCCAGCGCGACGCAGCGCGTCGAGGCTCGCGCGGACCGACTGCAGCGCAGCATGCCGGTAGTCGCCGGCCAGCCCGCCAGCCTGTGGCCACTGCGCGGCCCAGTCCACAGAGTCGTCGAAGATGCTCGGCACGTTGCCAACGGGCCGCGTGCGCAAGGCTCGGCGCACACGGGGGATGCCACCGCCCGGCCCTCGCACGTTGGAGTTGTTGTAGAGGTGCCGGAAGTCAGCGCACGCCACCTCGCACACCATGAAGAGGGTGAGCAGCAGGGCGAGCTGGTGCACGGGCTGCTCGATGTCGCACACGCCCGCCTCGATGATGGCGTTGGTGGCGCGTGTGATCGGGACCGCCTCCTGCGTGTTCCACTCCCCGTTCCAGCGCTGTGACGGGATTGAGGAGGAGTCAGTGTGGGCTAGGACGGAGCCAGGACTACCCGCGTACGCGCCTCGACACGCTGGTTGTGGACGGACGGCACGTCGCCCCGCACGCGCAGCCCTTGCTGCTCAAGAGCATACTTGATGAGAGCAAACTCGGTGCCCTGCAAGCGGACGACTACTGCATCAGGCGAAGAAGCTGGGCAGGGACGGGGCAGTACGGCCGCACCCCGTCGAAGATGTACACGTCCGGCGCGCGGCAGTCGTCGCCTCGGACACCCTCGAGGAACAACTGGTAGTGCTCCTCGGCCAGCTTTGTGAGTGCCGGCCGGACAGTCGGCAGCCAATGAGTATCGCCGTCAATCTGAGAGGGTGCGTGGCGGCCGATTCGGATGGTGTGACAGGTGTGTGGGCGGGTTTAGTGGATCTGGCACCTCCGAGTGGATGCGGAGCTTGCAGATGGAGAACTTGCCGCCGAAGGCGAGCTTCTCGGTCAGGTCGATGTGCGTGTTGTAGCCGTAGTAGTGCGAGATATAAGGCCTGCGCTCGACTGTGCGCTGTAGCTCCTCCCACCGGCGACGGGAGGCGGCCGCGTCCACTCGGCGAAGCGAGGCCTTTACGCGGTCCTTCCCAATCTGCAGCGGCGCTAAGCGCAGGTTCACCCGGCCCGTCGCATACTTTGTGCCGTGCCGCTGGCGGCTGAGCTCGCCGCGATCATACAGATCCCTGACGATCGCATCGAGCTCCGCGGGCGTGCCCGCCCACGTCCGCTTCAGCCCGTGCTGCTTCTTCAGGTTCTCGACATCCGATCTGTCACAGCGCCACCCTTCGGCCGACAGGTGCTGTGCGATGTCCGCACACGAAAGACGGCTGTCAAGCAGCTCTCTGATTCGATGCGGCACCCACTGCGGCGCATCGACGTGCCGGAAGTGGCACCTCGGCATCGGCGCCGGCCAGGAGCGCGCGCTGTGGCTCCCGCGAGAGAGGGCGGTCGACGTGTGACACGTGGCTCCGCAATTTGCGAGAACTTGCTGTTTTTATCTGATTTTGGCAAACGCTTGCTTCGGCACTCACCGCCAGCGGCACTTCTATGGAACACGCGCGCCAAAGGCTTGTCTTCACAACTGGCACGCGCTTCTTTCATGAGGGAACCCGGACGGTGCGCACAATTTAACTCCCAACGTGTGTTGTCGCAATTTACCTGCTGCAGGCAAAAAATAAGAAAATGCCCCGAACAAGTCCGCCATAGGCAGAGACTCCCACCGCCGAACCTGGCCTCTCGGCCTACGAACTGGAGCGGCTCGCCAACATACGAGCAAATGAGGCTATTCTCGCATCACTCAACCTTGTGAGCTTCAAATCAGAGATGGGGCTCAAGTCCTCCTCAGCGCGTCCGTCGCAGCGCGGCGTCGCCAACGCGTCTCGAAAGCGCTCCTCTTCGACTCCGACCGTCCCGACCCGGCAATCGTCCCGAACCCGCAATGTGGAGCCAGAGTTCAGTGGAGTTGCCGAGGAGCACCGCGATGGCCGGATCGAACTCGACTCGGGAGACATCATCGCCCCGGGTGTTGGCAAGGTTGCCCGCCCGGAAGACCTCTTCAAGCAGCTCGACCCGCGCACGCCGATCCCTTTCCACCGCGTCAACGACGACGACATGGAGGAGGCGGAGGAGGACGTGCGGGCGGAGGACGTGGAGGCGGCGGCGGCGGCGATGGCGGCGGAGGACGCAGCGGAGGAGGAGGAGGAGGAAGAGGAGGACGTGCCCCTCTCTGCGCGCCTGCCGCCGGCCGCACGCGCTGCGGCTGCTGCGCTGCCAAAGCCCGACGAGCGGGACGGCGCACTGCTCCGCCTCGTCACCTCCGGCCAGGAGGGAGGCTCGAGGGAGGAGGCGCCCCGACAAAAGGGCAGGCCGGCCGGCAAGGGACGGGGCGCCGCCAAGCCGCCCGCCGCTGCCTCCTCCCTCGCACGCTGCTCGCTCGCCGAGGCGGACGTGGCCAAGGTGAGCCCCCCCGTGTGCGGCTTAGCTGTGGCAAGAGCGCCGGTTCACAGATGGGTTGATAAGAAACAAGAAGCTTCACAGCCTTGCGCGCGCGAGCAGGTGACCAAGTCCGCGGTGGTGCACCTGCAGTTCCAGCCGCGCGACGACACGCTCCTCCTCGCGGCGGGCGACAAGGACGGCCACGTGTCGCTGTGGCACTGCGACCGCGCCGAGGACGACCCGTCCGACGGCGTGCA